GAGGGGTCTCTTAGCCAGGAATGAGAACCTCAACCTACTGTGGGGCAAACAGCCCTCTTCCCCAGCATCTGTGGGTCCTGAGGATTGACCCTCTGCTGTCTTTCAAACCTAATGATGATGAGCAGCTTCTGCCCAGGGTCACAGCTGGTCAGCTGGGGGAGGATGCTCGTGAGGACCAATTGAGTTCTGCCGGTCAGTTCTCTCCCCTTCTCTTTCCCTGTTTCTCTGGCAGCTGAGCGAAAAGTACGGGCCGGTCTACACGCTCCAGCTGGGTCCCCGGCGTATCGTGGTGCTGCGTGGCTACGAGGCCATTAAGGAGGCCCTGGTGGACCAGGGGAACGAGTTCCGGGACCGGGGGCAGCAGGCCATTTTTGACTGGATCTTTGAAGATCAGGGTACAGTCCAGGCTCTCAGTCCCACAACAAATCATGATGGTTTCATTGAGGCATCCATCTGTAGTGGAAGCTCTATTTGATATCTCTTGTGTTGACCAGGAAGTTTTGACCATCCCTCTGATTCCAGAATGGTCAGCCCACATCATGACCCACCTTTCAAGAAACCCTGAGAGACCCTATTCTCTTTCCTCCAGGGAGGCAGTTCTGCACTGCCTCAGTTCTATGAAGTGCTCAGAAGGAGCTTCCTTCAAGCAGCACTCTGGACAATCTTGTGTCTACTGGGAGGTCTTTCGGGTTCCCAACACGCCTTTCCCCCCCTTCTCTTTTGATCTGCAGGAGTTGTTTTCACGAGTGGAGAAAAGGCCAAACAACAACGACGGTTCTCCATCATGACCCTTCGGGATTTTGGGGTGGGAAAGAGATCTATCGAAGAGCAGATCCTGGAGGAAGCCCACTTCCTGCTGGAAGCCCTGAGGGGCACAAAAGGCAGGTGGATTTCTGGAGCCCCCCGAAGTGGGGCCAGGAGGCAAATCACGGGGAAGAAGGAAAATGGAGCACGCCTGGTCAGCGAAGCCCAAATATCCAAATGGGGAACTGGCTTAAGCCATCCAACACCAAGACCACCAAGGGAAGACTCCCCTTCATGCCCCCCGCCCCCCAGCACCCTCTCTGCATGGCCCCAGAGTGAGGCTGGCCCAGTTGAAGGAGGCATCCGTGCTTTCCTGACCAGTCCAAGGAGATCTGCAACCAGAGCCTGTTTAGCCAGGGCGGTTTTGTTTTTTTCCTTCACGGGGGGATGAGGGGACCCTGAGAGAGCTTTGGGTCTAGAAGGGCCTCTCTCCCCCCAGGAGCCCCCTTTAACCCCACCTACTTCCTGAGCCGCTCCGTGTCCAACGTCATCAGCTCCATCACCTTTGGCAACCGCTTTGACTACGAAGATCCGGAGTTCCTCTCTTTGCTGACCATCATGACAGAGGTCTTCTGCTTCGCATCCTCAGCACAGGGGCAGGTACCTCCCCCCTTCTGCTGCTTCTCCTTGGGGAAGGCATCTGTGGGGGCTCTGAATCTCAAGGTACTGCAGTGGGTGAGTGTACAAAGAATGGTTTCAGGGCCAATGGTTGGTTCTCCTCTCCCACTGGTGAAGGAGGACCTTTTTCTGTGGACCTGAAGGAGCAACTTACTTGGCGAAGAAGGAAGGGTCAGGGCCAACAGATGTGCTGGGATCTTTCACCTCCTCCTCCCAGGTCTTGCCCACCCCCATCCCACCGCAGCTCCACATGCCAGGGTCTTCTTCTACCAGTAACTCCTTCCTTTCTGCTCTTCTCCAACTTGCCACCCAACCTGCAGCTCTTGGACATCTTCTTTGGAATTGTGCAACATCTCCCTGGCTTAAAGCAAAGGTTTTTCAAGAAGTTTTCAGAACTGAAGAAATTTGTGGCCAAGAAGGCAAAAGCCCACCAGGAGACCCTGGACCCCAACTCCCCACGGGATTTCATTGACTGCTACCTGGTGAAAATGCTGCAGGTAGAAGGGGGGGACACCTTGACCAGGTCATTTGATGTTTAATGCATACAGAAATACCTTTGAGAGATATTCCATCCAAGGCTGTCTGGAATGGACCTGCCCCAGATTCCTGACCTACAAGAGCCAGAAACAGTGGATAAGAGTTAGCCAAGGTCTGGTCCACAGTTCAAGTCAACAATAGTCCAGTGTTGACAGCAAGGTCAGCCTTGTCAAGGTTCAGGCTGTCCAGACGTCTAGAGAAGTTCAGACATCAATAAATTAGGAAATCCGTGGAATACCTGGAGCTCCACGTCTCTCCCTAAGTGTAGCTGGGGCCATTCAGAATAATATGGAAGAACTGGGCTACTCAATTTTGCCTCTTACTCCCAAGCAGACCTTCAGTCAAGAGGATGGCTGTGCTGGCTGATGGGGAGGGGGGAGTTGTAATCCTGGTGGACAATAGGCTGAACTAGAGAGATAAACTGGATAAAAGTTCCCTTTTCTCTCAACAAGGAAGAAAAAAACCCTGACTCTTTCTTCTCCATGGAGGAACTGGTTGCAACCACGCTTAATATCTTCTTTGGTGGTACCGAAACGGTCAGCACCACCTTGCGTTATGGGTTCCTGATGCTGCTGAAGTATCCAGAGGTGGAAGGTAATTTCCATGGCAACAGAGGAGCAGGGCAGTGGTTGGAACAGGAGCAATTGAGACCTTCCTTGTGAAATTCAGATCCATCATGTGGTCTCCTGCATGCTGGGTGGTCTTCCTGGTGTCCCACGATCAAAACTGGAGGGCCAGAAGTGGACCTCCTCTGGCTCCTTAACTAAACTTCCTTGAAAAATTCAGATCCATCACATGGTCTCCTGCATGCTGGGTGGCATTCCTGCCTCCTCAGGAAGCTGCTGGGTCCCCCAATCAGAACTAGAAGGGCAGAAGTGGACCTCCTCTGGCTCCTAGTTACCCTCTTTCTGATCTCTCCCCAGAGAAGATCCATGAGGAGATTGATCACGTCATTGGTGTCAATAGGACTCCCACCATGGAGGACCGGCTGCAGATGCCCTACACAGAAGCTGTGATTCATGAGATACAGAGATTTGGGGACCTATTACCCATGGCCCTGCCACGGCGTGTCACCCGAGAAGTCCAGTTAAGAGGATACACAATTCCCAAGGTATTTGGGGGGGGAGAGAATATGTCCGCTCTCACCATTCAGTTACAACTACAAGATAGTCTTCAAGGGTAGCTGTCTTCTGTGTGAGTTGGATCATGCCTCCCATCATCCTCAGCCAGAGTAATTGATGCTTCCTTTATTTCCTGCCCGCAGGGGACAGAGGTATTCCCCATGTTGGGAACAGCATTGAGAGACCCCAAACATTTTGCAAGACCTGAGGAGTTTGACCCCCAACACTTCCTGGATGAGAAGGGGCAGTTCAAGAAGAAGGAGGCTTTCATACCCTTCTGCATTGGTGAGCCCCCCTTCCTCAGACACAGTTGTGAATTAAATCCACAAAGCACAAATTCAGAAGAGATGCTGAGGCACAGAAGGGACCCCCAAGTCCTCCGTTGCATCTGCAGAATATGGATGCTCTCAGACCCCCATTGGGGAGGCTGCCAGGGGGTCCTCCTGCCCACTGGCCTCTCTGCTCTGGTCTTTTGCAGGAAAGCGCTCCTGCTTCGGAGAAAATCTGGCCCGTGCTGAGCTCTTCCTCTTCCTCACCAGCATCCTGCAGCATTTCCGCTTCAAATCAGCTGTGACCCCTGAAGACATCGACCTCTCCCCAATGTTGGTGGGGTTTGCCACTATCCCACGGATCTATGAGGTCTCAGTCGTCCCCCGCTGAGTGGGGGGCCCTCTGGAGCATTTGCAACGTTCCTTTCTGCCTCTGCTCCCACCCTGACAATTCCTTCTGGCTGCAGGAGGTGCCCTCTAAGGACATGCCTCTCCTGCTGAGGGCACCGCAGCCGCCTCTCCATCTGCAGAGAGCCTGGCACCTACGGGCACCCCCTCCCTTGCATTGCACTGCGGCTCCTGCTCCTGTACCCCAACCTCTGTGCCTCCGTGGTCCCTGGTCTCCCTCCTTCTCAGACAGTCTAGTTCGATCCTGCCTCTCTCCTTTGAAGTTCCCAACTCAGGCGGGTTTCTGTTTCGTAAAATCTCCTCTCTATGTTGACCTGTTCTGTATACGAATAAACATTCTTTGCCAGCCTAAAATGGAAGCGGAGGGGAAGTTGAAGGGTCCTGTGCCAGCAGGTGGAGCTTGAGGCTGGGGCCAGTCGGTGCCAAGGGCCGGCCTGTCCTTTCCTCGTCCTTCCTGAGCAGCATTTCAGACTCTTCTGCCCTTGAGGAATCCCTTCCAGGCTACCTGGGAAAGGAGCAGCCGAAAAGCCTTTGCAATGAGCATCTGCTTGCACTGCCCTCTTTGAAGTTCATCCACAATAATCCAAGACTTCTTTTGACCAAAGGCCACCCCACTTTTGCCTTATTTCGCCTGCTTCTCCTGCCTCCACCCTAGAGGAGTGGGCTGCTCCCTTGCAGGCACCTTCAGGGGCTGCCATGGCTTTTCTGTTGGTCAATGCCTGCTCAGACCTTGACAGAGGAGCTTCTTCACCAGACCCAGAAGGGGCTGTGGCATCTTAGGTGTCCAAGGATACTGCTGTGCCAGGGATGGGCCACCCAGCCTCCACCTGCCTGCTTCCAAGGGAGCAGGAGGGCAGCTGAGCCCCCCAAAAGGAGGGTCATTGAGGGAAAGATAAACTGCAGTCCTGCCCATCCTCACTGCCTCCCTCGCCTGGTCTGCCAAGTCCTCTTTTATGTCTCTGCCACTGGAAGCCCCTCCCCCTTTTTCTTGGCAGGGCAGTGGGGGGCATCCTAATATTTCCCCAGCCTCTGTCAGCAGCAGCGCTGAGGTGTGTGAAAAATAACCCTTGCTGCAGTGGGTGCAAAAACTGCTTGCTCAGGCCTTTGGCCAGTCCAGCGATCAGGGGAGGGCACTTTGGATCAACTCCAGCCAATTCCCACCTGCGACACTCACCCAGGACCGCCGTGTGCTCGAGGAGGTCTGGAGGGGTTTCCAGAGAGGATGGCAGGTTCCCCTTGGCTCATCAGCTGCACACATCGCTTGTGGAGAGGGGTGGGGGGGCATTTATTCATCTATTTTTATTTATTAATTAAATTATTATACCGTCCATCTCCCCTATGAGGTGTTTCTGGGAAGCTTTCAAGTCAAAAGTAATTAAAAATTAAAACCACACAGAGTTAAAATATTATAAAGAACTACACAAAAACCACAACCAAGAGGGCTGAGGGCTGGATGGGGCAGGGATCAGCTCTTTTTACCCAATCAGACACTTCCAGCAGTGAGCGTCCCTATCGGGGGCCCAGGCCAAGTTGGCAAAGCCAGTTTTGATCCCCTTCCAGAAGGTCCAAGGGGAGGGCAGTTCTCGCCTCTGGTGCAAAGTCTTCCACAGGGAGGGGGCCACAGTGAAAAAGGCTTTTCTCCCATGATGTTTCCATTCCATAACCCAGCCTGAATCCTGACTGATAATCCGTTTCATCCAGGACCCTCTGGAGCTGCAAGGCAATCGCTTGTTCCAACACCTTCCTTAGAGAGGGGACACATTGGGCGAATATTGTCCAGAGAACTGGAGTCCAGTGATGGTTTCTTGAGGAGGGGGGCACCAAGGCCTCTTTGAATGGTGCCAGAAACACCCCCTCTTGCATTGATGCATTACTTACTGCTTGGACCCACCTGCAGGTCAGCGTCCTGGAGGCTTTCACCAACCAGGAGGGACAAGGTTCTAATAAGCTGCCTTAACAGCCCAAAGGATCCTGTCCACTTCCTCAGGATCAACAGGGTCAAACCATTCCCAGATAATCTGGCAAGTCCATTCCTCGGGTATCTCCAGTGGACCTGCTGCATGCCAGGACTCAAACTGACACCTGATCCGAGCAATATCCTGGCTCCTTTCCGTCACCCTCTTCCAAGGTCTCCAGACTCTCCTTCCCCCTGGGAGAGCAACACCCATTGGCCACGGCTCCTAATGAATCCCTCCCCTGCAGAGGCCAATGGCCATTCCCACCTGCATCTCTGGGCTGCAGGTTCTCTGCTGCATCTGTAAAAGCACTTTGGAGTTGACCCAAAGTTCAATCTATGAACGTTCCTTGGCCGGCATATTCACGGTCCCTCTGCAGCCCCTCACCCCATCCAACCTGGCATCAGCCTCCTGGTTTCTGCCCTGGATGAAGCAACCTCCATGCTCAGAGGAAACCTCCCCTTTCTCCACACACACCCCAAAACATCTTTAAGTTGCATCAACTGCACAATAACTTTCTGAGGCACAGGAGGTCACTATGGTGGTCTTTGATGCACGTGATTATTGATGTTCCTGCAAGCTTTAATTAAACCTGTAATTAAAGAACAAAACTATTGTTTGAGTTATGTTTTGAAGCAACACCCCCCCCCACCCCCCACCCCCCGTTTGGCTCTGGAGCAGCCTCCACCTACAATTTGAATATATATGAATTGGCAGAAATGCGCTGTAGGCTGGCATCACTCTCCTGCCTGGCTTGGAAGGGACCCGGGCTGTTGCACAACCTGGATGATGAGGTGGGCGTTGCATTTCTTTCCGGATCCTATATTAGGTCCCTGGAGAGCCAGGCTGACACTCTCTCCACAGCAGCACCTGGCAAGTGCTGGAGCTGCCCATCCTCATGGATCTCCTGGGAGCAGGGACCCTCTTCCTGGCCCTCTCCCTGGCCGGCCTCCTGATCCTCTCCTCTTGGCAGCAAATGCGCCGAAGGGGCAAGATGCCCCCTGGACCCACGCCCCTCCCCCTGATTGGGAACCTGCTCTGGATAGACCAAAACAACCTGCCCAATTCACTCATCAAGGTAAGCCCCTCCCTCCCCCTGCACCCCCATGCCCTGCCCTTCCGCCTGCTCCTTCCTGCCTTCCCCATGACCAGCTCAAGTGGTCCTTGCTGGCCTTGGACTACCAGCATCAAAGGCCAGCTGGCTGGGGGAGCCCGGGACCCCAAAGCTTGAGTGGGACTCTCCCTGTTTCCCTCTTCAGAAGGACCTAGGATGGAAGAAGAGGAATCGGATTGCTTAGGTGGTTGGTCACAGCCGGGGTTTGGTTGGTTTTCCAGTCGGGGTGCGGGAGCGGCATTTGGCTGCGCGATGCCCTTCCTTGCCACATTTGAAACACCCGGTGGTTCTTTTGGAGGTTGCTGGCTGCTTTGCTAACTCGCGGGTCAGCTCCTGTGGCGATTTCCCCCAGGGTCTTCCTCCTCTGCGATGCCTCTTGCCTAAGTCAATCTCGGCTTCCTTGGCTAGGGCGTACCAATCTTGCAGCCGGTGAGGATCTCCCCGAGGGAGGCAGGCATCGTAGAGGTCATACTTTAAGCCATCTTTGAAATGGCTAAGCAGGATGTCCTCCGGCCACTTCAGTTTGCTGGCCAGGGTTCGGAATTCTTGGGTGTATTCCGCCACTGGCCGTCTGCCTTGCTTCCCTGTCTTTATCCGCTCTCGGACTTTCCGGTCAGCCAATGGATCTTCGAACCTGTGCCTGAGGGAGACCATGAATTGGTTGAAATTCAGTAGCGCCAGGGCATCAGCATCATGGAGGTCTACGACCCAGTCCGCTGCAATGCCATCCAAGGCGGCTTGCACCATGTGGACTCTGGCACGGTCAGTGGGGATGTCCCTGCCATACTCCTCCATATAGTTTAGTACCTGGGTTAGGAAGAATCCCAGGTGCCGCTGCTCCCCACGGAACTTCACATCGAGTGGAGGGAACTTCTGGATGGACCGTTGCCTCTTCTTCCGTTTGTGTTTTCTCCCCTCTCTGTCTGTGGCTTCTATGTGATGAGGGGTGGGTGCTGCAGCGGCAACCGCGGTGAGTTCAGTTGTTCCATCAGATGGGTCTGGAACTTTGGGTTCAGGCTCCACTTCATTTCCTCTACTGCTGGATCCCAGGCAGATGATGCCTCGGTAGGATTCGGCTTTCTCCTCCTTCATGGAGTCAAGGGCCATCTTCATCATGCCGATTGCCTGTTCCAGCAACCAGCTGGAATGTCCCGGCCGATCCTCCTCGTCCTCGCTGAGATGGAGAGACCTTTTCATCTCCTCCTTCCAGTCGGGTTGATGACTGCCCCGTCTGAGTGTTACCTTCTCCCAGTCGTCCTTCTTCACAACGCCCATCGACCACCTAGGCTTGTGATGGCGTTCTGTCACCACCTCCTCTTCCGAAGAGCTTGACAGGATTGTGGGAAAGAGCAGATAATGCCCGGCTGTCTCAGGGTTGCAGCGATGTTTCCTCGGCTCTTCTCATCTTCCATTCCCAAACAGAGATAAACCAGTTGCTGGAGGCACATTCTTTTCTTCTCCCCCCCCCCCAGCTGACATCAAGGGGAAAGATAGTTCACAGAGGAAGTATGCAGAAACACTGTTAAAGTGCAGCAATAGAGGAAAACAGAACAATAACCCGCAGTGCTTTTCCCCACTCCCCTCCGGGAGCCTGGCAGAACCCAGAATATAGAGAGAGTAGAGTTTGAGTTAAAGATAGAAAACAGTCCCTTTAGAATATGGGTTCTGACATCTAACCCCCTCCTAGAGAGGGGCAAAACAGCCCTCCTCCCCAGCATCTGAGAGTCCCTGGAGCGAAACCCCTGTTGTTGAATAAACATAACCTGTGGCAGGAACCCCACCCCATGGATTTCCCCACTGAGATCATCTCTGCCCAGCAGTTTCTGCCCAGGGTCATAGCTGGTCAGCTGGGGAGGATGCTCGTGAGGACCAATTGAGTTCTGCCGGTCAGTTCTCTCCCCTTCTGTTTCCCTGTTTCTCTGGCAGCTGAGCGAAAAGTATGGGCCGGTCTACACG